GGGAGGGGGGGGATGGATGGGAATGGGGATAAAAGGATTGAATGGATGAATAGATGAATAGATGAATGGATGAATGGATGAATAGATGAATAGATGAATAGATGAATAGATGAATGGATGAAAAGATGAATCAAACAATAGAATAATATGACAATGTGACAATGGAACAATAGATCCTACTGCTGAATCCCAGCTCCTGCTGCAGCGGAGTGGCGATCAGGCCGAACGCCTGCGCCCACAACAGATCGAGGAAGTAGCCCAGGCCGCAGAGGGTCCAGATGAACCACTGATACTTGCCCATGCCCATGGCGTTGAACTCCTCGTTGATCATGAGGGACTTCTTCTCGTACAGCGAGAAGCCGGGGTTGGGATCAACCAGGACGCCGGCATTGGCCTCATGGTGATGGGCATTGCTGGTGACAACTCGGATTTCATCGGGCTCTGAGGAGGAGAAGGAGGAGGAGATGTTAGATGACTTTTCTCGAGGGACAAGGGGAGGAAAGAAGAGGGAGAGGACATGGTCATGGTCGTCGCACTTAGGTTCAGCTTTCCATCATCTTCTTCGCCTCCACTCTCGTGATCCCGATAGCGATGCCGATCATCCAAATGATGGCCGACGGGGGACGATGCCTCTGACGCACTCATATCTGACAATTCGTGATAGCCGGTGCGTGTGCGGCTGCGTTCCGCGCGGCGAGGATGGAGTGGGTGGGAAGGGAAGGCGATGCGATAGAGCGACTGGGCATAAGGAAAGCGGTTATTGAGGCGCTGGGGGGACGACGGGAGCATGCGATGGGGGTAATGGTGGTGATGGTGGTGATGGTGGTGATGGTGGTGATAGTGGACGTCGTCGTCGTCGTCGTGGTGCTGGTAACTGGCGGTGGTATATGTTGGGTGGGGGGGGGAGGATGAAGGGGACTTTGAGGGGAAAAGGGGGACAAAGGGAATAGAAGAAGAAGAAGAAGAGAAAGAAAAAGAGAAGAAGAGAAGACAAAGAAGACAAAGAAGCTGCTTTGTTTGGGTGAAGGGGGTGGGTTAGTGTCAGGTCACCAAGGCAGGGCCGTCAAGTCAAGTCAGGTCAAGTCAGGTGCTTCAAGTGTGTGGTTCAAGTTAGGTTGGGGAAGGGTGGGGTGGGGTAAGTGGTGGGATGAGTGGGGTGGGGTCGGATAGCTACGTACAGTAGAAGATAGGAGATAATAGGAGATAAGCGGATAGATAAGGATTGGTAGAACAGGGCTGCATATAGGCCGAGATGGGCCGAGACGGGTCGAGATGGATCGTACCTGCCTAGAGTCCTTTTCTACTGTATTACAGTACGTACCGGTAGTTGCACTCTTACCACTTGCACTACTTGCCCCTAGTCCGCCTTAGCCACCAGCAGACCCACCCAGCCCGTCAACTCAGCCAGTCAGCCCGCTAGCCCGCCAGCCAGCTACCCACAGACAAAATCACGTGTCGGTGTCTATCTGGATATCTGTATGTAGGTACTACGTATGTTTGTTTACGTGTATATAGTCGTAGGTACGCAGTATGTACTCTGTATAGACTATACTGTATGACTTCATGACATCCCCCACTCTAGCGCTATTGAAAGCCGGAAGGAGAAAGCGAGAAGCGAGCAGCGTGAACTGGGAGAAGGAGTCTAGAGATAGACAGATATATATATATATATATATATATATATATATAGATTGTACATTTGCACATCTATATATATAAAGCAGCTCTGTGTGAGGGCGGATGTCTCATATCCTCATGTCTTATGTCTGGATCTTATGTCTGGATGAATACCTGCCTATGTCTCTATCGATATCGATATCTATATCAATCTCAACATCACCATCACCATCACCATCACCATCACCATCACCATCACCATCTCCACCTTCATCGACGTCACCTCCACCTGTCAATGGAATTAGCGTCTATCTTAGCTTTGCAGATCTGTGGATCTTCTTCCCCAGTCTCGCTTAAACATCGGACCGCGGACTTAAGCATAGACTGGGCCGAAAACATCTTGAACTTGCATTATTCATACATCGCGACCAGCAACCCAACTACCGCAGATCGCACGACCGGGTGAGACGGTCCGTCAGTCAGTCCGTCCGTCCGTCCGTCAGTCAGTCGGCTCAGATCTTCAGACGATGCATCATCAAGCGCAGCAACCAGTTTTCCTGTCCAGTGCGCGCTTCGATCCCACCCAGCTCGCACTGCAGCTGACCATGCAGCTCATCCAGCACCTCCTTCGTGAAGCGCAGACTGCCCTCCTCCTCCAATCTTCGGCGTACCAGCGTCTTCATCTCGGGGCTCATGCGCCCGTGGTGGCTGCGGGACTGGAACAAGCTCCGGAGGTCGCCACTGCCGTGGCCCGCAGCTTGCTTCTCCAGCGCGTGGATGACGGGCAGCGTGAAGGTCCCTTGGTCCAGATCACCTTGCCGGGCCGACTTGCCCGTACACTACACCACTGCTTTTCAGTAGGGGAGACGAGATGAGAATGAGACGAGACGACACGAGGATCTGTTGATGACGAGAGATGGCACTCACCATGTTCGTGATGTCCTGGTGATCGTCGCGGATCTGGTAGTATCGGCCGAGGAGGCTCATCAGGGTGTCGACGTGCATCTGCTGGTTCGATGTCGCTTCGGCTTGCATCATCTTGGACGCGGCCCGGAACAGGCCGCCGGTCTCTGCGGTGACGGTCAGCATTGTTGGGCTTGGAAGAGAGAAGAGAGAAGAGAAGAGAAGAGAGAAGAGAAGAAAAGAGAAGAAAAGAGAGAATAAAAGAGAAGAGAAGAGAGAAGAGAAAGAAGAGAGAGAGAGAGAGAGAGAGAGAGAGGAGGAAGGGGTCTCCATCAACCTACCCATGTACGTCTGTCTACCTAGCCATGCATGGCATCCAGAAATAAAGACCTTCATCAAAGAGAGCAAAATAAATGCGAAAAGAAATGGATACTTTTCCGTCTCCTTCTTGCTGTATCGTTCCAAACCCTAGCAATGAAGGACAGACACATGATTGGAAAAAAGAAGGAAAAAAAAAAAAACGAAAGGTAGGAATTTATACGGGAAGGAGAAGCAGGCAGCCAAGACGGCAGACAGATACGTACATCTACGAGACCACCCACCCAGAGAATCTTTCCATTCCCCAGTTCCGATCCTGACTGTTGAAATGAAAAGTATCCGGTGTAATATACAATACAAGGTATATAAATAATAAACGTGCGTACTCGAGAGGCGGACTGAATTCATAACATGCAAGAGATACAAGGGGGTGGGTGTACTCACACTCACACATATACCTATATCCAGTTCGTTCATTTCACTTCCTAGGTACCTACCTATCTAGGTATGTAGAGAGAGCAGATCATCTGAGGCGAAAGATTTGTGACTTGTGAGTATGTAGGTAGGTAGGTAGGTGGATGGTGAGGAGGTACTTCATTCTCTTTCACTCACTCACACACACACACACATCTCACTCACTCATCTCTTTCGTTCAACTCCTTCCTCGTATCCCGTTCCATCGAAACCCTCCCTCGCAAAGCATAGGTATCTATCTATCTTCCACGATGCTGGATGCAACTCCTCCCCTCTCATCCACGGCTCTCCTTAGTCCAGTCCAGTCCCGGTACGCGGTCCATCCACTCCCAAACATCGCGTCACCACTTCCCCCCGTTCATCACCCCACATAAATGCCATGTCAAAAAGTCCATTCCATTCATCAAAAGCTCTCCGCATGCCCATAACATCATCGTCGCCGACCTCCACACCTCCCCTCCCCGAATCGTAGATAAGATAAAAATAAAAATAAAACTTGCAGCAACGCACCGCCATATGCACGCCCACAACTCTCCAAGGGTTGAGAGACCAAACAGCAACAAGCAAGCAAACAGCAGAAACGCCCTCCAGATAACCATAAGAAGGGGGGGGGAGGGGGGGGGGGGGGACACCCATGACCAACCCACCAGTCGCCCAAGCTAAACAATAGTTGGAAAAAACCACACACACAATGCCATTCAAATGTCGTATGCCGCCCCCGACCCTCGAATAAAACCTCCAACCCTTGCTCAATGTTAATGTAGGGATGTTCGTTCTATCTCGCAGAATAAGGAAAAATAGCCGGTATCAGATTTCGAAGAAGATTCCATCGCCATACCGCAGGCACAGCACCGGTCATCTAGTAGACCGTCTGTGAAAAAGTTTCTCTCCCACTCACTTTCTCATATTTGCCCTTGCCATCTACCTCCTCTTACTCGGATTTCAACTCTCTCATGACAAGCTAGCTTTCCACACTGAGACAAAACAGCTCAATCTCGCCAAGCTGTCCCTGCAGATACTGCTGCTTCTGCGACTCACGCCACTCCTGGAATGCGATCTGGATGTCATCGTCACTCTCAATCGTCACGAAATCACCGTCCTCGTCTTGGTACCGCAGTCGCATCGTACCGGCCGCAATGGCGTTGGTGGAGAATCGACCGACCTTGGCGTCAATGCGATCGACAAGGGATTGGTAGGTGATGTTAAATGCTACCACGAGCGTCACATAGTTGCCGTCGCAGTTGACTTTGACTTTGAGTTGAGTTGGGAGGCCCACGTCGCCGTCCCCTGATTTGACGCTACCCAGTGGTGGTGACATGGCTCGGCTATCCTGTACGCCTCCTGGATATTGAGAGTTGTTAGACCGTGGGTACGACGGGTACTGGGAGCCCTGGCCCTGCGGCATCTTTTGTATCTGTGCACCGGGAGACTGGGTGTTTGACCTCATGGGTAGCCCATTTGGAGAATTGTTCTGAGATCGCGGTATTCCGTTGTCGTAAGAAGGGTGAAGATGGGCGGGAATACCAGGTACGGCTGGGACTGGGCCACTCATGGAGCCATTCGGAAGCCGGCGGGCTCCATTCTGACCATTGATATCCGGGGTACTGTAAGACCGACTCCTTTGTTGTGCTGCTGTCTGTGCCTGCGCCGAATTGTGAGGCATTGCCGGAAGGGAAGGTCTCTGCGGTGTACGGCCGTTCATTTGATAAGCATCCGAATGTGGTTGGCTGCCTCTCGACAGTGCTCTCGAATGTGCAGGCGCCGTATACCTATTGTGATCAACTGACTCCCAGCCACTTTGGGGCGTCCCTTGCCGCGGGAGTGGAAACATTTGGGTCTGGGAACTGCCGCTTATTCTCGAGGACGCAGGTGATTCTGCGACCGGTGAGAAGTAAGAATCCCCGCCCCTGTGACTCGGCGAAGGGAGCTGTGTTGTAAGTTGGGTCTGCAAGCTCAACGGCGGATTCTGCAAGGTTCCCATTGGGAAGCGAGGCGGTGGCGCTCTCGCAATTCCGGCTAACGACGTGCCACTCTCTCCTGTTGCGGCCCTTGAGCGAAGACTCGAGATCGATGGGTTGCGAGCCATGCCTGTTACAGGGCCTGGATATGTGGAGTTTGATAATTGTGCTGATGCTGAGAAGTTATAGTCGTCGTCATCATCTTCATCTTCGTGTTGGGAATAGGGGTTGGGAAGAGGAGCTGCCTGATCTTTCATCCATGTGAAATCGGCATCGGGACTGCTCCCCATCTGAACGGTGCTGGCGTGTGTTTTCCGTTGCCCATCAACTCCCTCATACCATTTCTTCATCGTCTCCTCGTTCGAGAACCTTATGATGAAGTTCTCCACGCCTGGGTCACCCTTCCAGAAAATCTGAACTGTGTAAGAGCCTACGGTATGGTCAGCGCTGTCCAGATGAAGGGGCCTAGAAGGCTCACCCTGTTTTGCCAAAGACATGACCTCGGTCACGTTAGTCATGAAGATTCGTCCCTTGAGTTGAAGTTTCGCATTCTTGTTGGGCTCCCTGTTCTTCTTGTCTTTCTTATCCTTTTTGTCCTTCTGGGTGCTCCCCATGAGTTTGTCTTTCGATTTGTTGGGATTGAGCTCTTTGCAACACAAAAGGATGCGTTCGAAGAGGTATATAGTGTACTGCTCAAATGACGGGCAAGTGGCGCCCAATTCGTTAGCATATTGTTCTATAAAAGGGGTTTCCCCCGTGATTCTGTGGAGGCCTTGAAATTCAATGGAAAGCATGTTGTTCATGAAGTTGATCATATCCTCTTCAGCGTGTGGGAGCTGGTCGTCGGAATTGCACAACACTGATTCATTGAGGGAGAGAACACTGTCCACAGATTCCTTGTAAGGTTCTGGACAGGAGACAGCAGCCCATCGAAGGGGCCCCTCTTCCTCCGCTCCGCCCGGATGGACAAGAGAGCGTGTTGTCTTGATGACGAAGTCGCCTTGCGCTTCGCCAATTCTCTGAAGGACGAAATGACGAAATATTCTGAAGATAGAAGAGGGGTCGTACTTCTTTCTGCACGTCACTCTTGCCTGTCAACACAGGAAAATGCCCATGCAACAGCAATTCTCCAAAATGATCAACACGATGGTTCTTCCAGTCGTCTACCCGCGCGCACAGGTCCTCTAACGCTTCCGCCCTAAGTTCTCTATCGACGGCAGAGTTTGCCTGCATGAGCACTCGATTTGACGCCTCAATACCAGCTGTTAAATCAGCCTTAGTCTCGTCATCCGCACCTGTTTTGTCGCGCAGGTCCTATGAATTCATTAGGTTTGCATTCCAATTTCCTAGGTAATTCCAGCATACCTTCAACAGCAAGGGATACTTGACAAGACGCTGCATCGGTTTGAGAAGAAATCCGTCCAAGGTGTTGAAATCTGCAACCACGGGATGTTCAGCTAGAGAGATCTTGTCAAATTCTTTCTTTGCAATAGCCGCGGCTTTGCGTTGATTAGCGATGAAGGGTTGGTAAATGTTGAAGGCTTCCTCGTAATTGGTAAAGGGAAGTCCCCACGCTTGCGAATCGTCCGGTTGAGAATTCGTCGTCTCGATCTTGATGAGAAACCTCCGCTGGAAATCCAAAATCGCGTTGATGTTGAGAAAAATGTCGTGTACGACATCTCCTGGAATCACGCCCCTCTGCTCTATCGTTTTCTTCAGCTCGTGAAGATTCTCCAAATCCTGCACATATTTCCGTTCCGTGTTCACGAGTTCGTTGACCACATGGTCCCTGTAGCTCATCTTGGATCCTGCCATGGCTGCTGCCGGTACCACACTGGCCTCGTCTGATGTCAAAAGGTTTCCTTTTTGCTCCGCGATATCCAGAACAATGTTGATGATTTGAGTGACCTGTTCAGATATATTATTAGCACCATGAGTCCGACGGGTGTGTATAATTGAAGGTCGACTTGTGAATGGTCCGAGGACTGGAGCAGCACAACGCCACAACATGCGAAGAGGTGAAGAGCGAGACGCACCTTAACGAAGCCCGTCGTATCGTCACCGAACAAATCCTGCAATGAAAAGCACTCCCCAGGAGGTAGCTTGAGGTCCTTCAAGCACGCCTCCACAAACTTAAAGGCAGCAATCTTGGCTCTTTTCGTTTCCGGTATCTTCTCATCAATTTTCAAGAGCTCATCCGGCTTCAGCGAGTTATATATTGTGACCAGCGGTGTCCCCTTCCTCAGGCATTTCCATAGGGAGGAGACGGGGTCCAAGTCCTCGCCCTCATCCTCGCTCTCGGCATCGGTCAGGTGTGCATCGAAGTCGGGCACGGTGGCCAGCCTCTGGCGCAGATTCACGCATATCTGGTAGAGCGACCTCGAGGCATCCGCCCGCTGATTGATGATGTTGTTCGTCGCGACGACATTCCCAGCGTTCTGGGCCATCTGCGGTGTTGCCGGAGCCGCGGTAGATGAAACGAGGGTGGCCGAGCTGGTCAAAGATGACAGCGAAGTTGAGGAGGATGTGAAGGCGGTGGACCCAGAGAGCTGGGAGGAGCGCGAACTGTGGCCCATGATGTTGCTCAAGCCTGAAAGGCCATGCCCGGTGCTGCGGGTCGTGAATAAGGGGGCGGTGTTGGTTCTCGAGAGACCATGAGCCATGGGGGGGTTCGCAACACTGCCGAAGGACATATATCTGGTGGAGCGGGCAGTGGAGTGGAGAGGGAAGTGGGAGTGGGAGTGAAGTGGAAGGCGATGGGGCGTTCGTATTGGTCGAGGTGGTAGTGGCAGTGGGTAGTGGTTAGTGGTGGTGGTGGTGGTGGTTAGTGGTGGTGGTGGCGGCGGGGTGGTTTTACTCGGGAGCGGTACCAAACACGTGCATTTGAAAGCACGAGAGAAGTGGGAGAAAAGGGTCAAGGGAGAGAGGAAGTTGATGTAATGCGGTCGAGATTTCAACGTGTATGGGTGGCTCGGGTAGATGGAGGGGAGTGGAGTCGATTCAATTCAAGTCGAGTCGAGTCGAGTCGAGTTTGAGGGCTAAGTAAAGGTTGGGTTGGGTTGGGCTCCAGCGTGTAAGGAAGGTAATAAGGCAATAAGGTAATAGGGTAATGAGGAAGGATGTTTTGATGATAAACTTGGGTGGTGGATGGATGGACGGACCACTGGGAATAGATGATTGTAGCGCCGGGCTGAGTTGACTGTGAGGACTGCCTGTCCTCTAAATGAAGATCAATAGGTAGTAGATAGATGTACGAAGAAGAATGAACAAATCAAATGAGAAGCAGCCGCTCTGTGATGCCAACATCGACGGACAGAGGTAGCATCGGCTCGTCCTGGTCATTCCAGTCTATCGATTGAGTCGGCTGTTGCCGTTGCCCGCTGGCTGGCTGGCTGGCTGGCTGGCTGGCTGGCTGGCCTGGCCCCGAAGTATCCGGTCTCCCGTGCCCTTGCCCGTGCCCTTGGCCGTGCTGCTCCACTCCACATCGGCGAATCTTTGAATCCCGGCAACTAACAGAGCAACCAGGTGAAACAAAGTCCAAGTACTACGTTGTAGTAGGTAAAAGTAGTCTCGTACCCTGAAGATCAACGCCACTCACCACGAATGACGGACGACGGACGACGGACTACTACAAGGCTCAACAACTCCTCCAACATCAGCATCAGCATCAACATCATCACATCACCCGGGCAGAATATAGCTAGCTACACATTCAGGCGCCTCAACTCGATTCCGCATCTTCAACCTCGGCCACTCCCTCACGCCCTCTCGCCCTCTCGCCCTCTCGCCCTCTCGCCCTCTCGCCTTCCCGCTCCCGCCCAACCACCCCCCGAATCCCGTCTTTAACCTGACGCGCATTGCATCGGAACCCGACCGCAATACCAGCAAAAGTGCGGGAAAAAAAAAAACCACATCTCTCTCTGTGTGGTGCTGGGGCCAAGCTGGATATCTATGACAAGCACTATGCAGTCCTACGAAGGATCACCTCAGGATGAAGGCTACAGCGAAGACCCGCTCACCGTCGCAAACTCGGGCTCGCTGCCTTCTTGGGTACAAAATATGACGGCGCCTGAAAGATTAGGTAGGTCGGAGGAAATTTGGGAGCTCAAGAGTCCCGGGCACAGACCTGAAGTAGCGACTGACCTTCTATAGAATATGTAATGGCTATAATCTCCCATCTACCGACCTCGCAGGTTGCGGAAATCGTTGCTCGTGTACGGCCGCGCCTCTATATCAATTTTTTCAAACATCTACCGCAGGAGATCTGCCTCAAGGTCCTCGGCTTCCTCGATCCCAATTCCCTGATCAATACTGCCCGCGCCTCGCGAGAATGGATGGGCCTGGCTCTGGACCGGAAGCTATGGCAGCACCTTTACATGCTAGAGGGATTTAAGGTTATTCAATCTGAAGTCGAACAGTTCGAGACCTCTCTCAACGCAAATTTGTCGGGTGTAGACCGCCCAGGACCCGGTGGTCGGAAGGGCGACGGGCATGCGAGCAAGAAACGGGCGACCCCCCAGCGCGTACTTCCTGGCCTCCAAAATGATGAAGACTCCGAGATGTTTGATGTTGATGCCGTTTCGGGCCAACAGACGTCCATCTTCGGGGGGGCAATGACCAAGGAACCTTTGTCTACCCACCAAGATGCGGGTGTCCAGATGCACTCACCCTCATCACCACGAATCGCACAATTTGAGAGTATTTTAGTAGATGATCTACCAAGTAAACAAATCAACCACGCCCTGCCCGAATCAACTTCTGCCCCCATCGCCAGTGCCTCCTCACTGGTAGTAGTAGACCAGAGCGACAATCGCAAGAGACTAAATTGGCAGTACTTGTACTCGCAGAGAAGAAGATTAGAAGCGAACTGGGAGGCGGAGAAATACACCAATTTCCAATTACCGCATCCAGACTTCCCCGAGGAGGCACACGAGGAGTGTATCTACACCATTCAACACTCTGGGAGGTATCTAGTCAGTGGTAGCCGGGACAGGACTTTACGAATATGGAACCTGGATACGCGGAGGCTTGTACGACCACCATTGTGCAATCATCAAGGCTCGGTGCTATGTCTACAGTTTGATGCTGATCCAGAAGAGGATATCATTGTCTCCGGGAGCAGTGATGCTACGATTGTGATCTGGAAATTTTCCACCGGGGGAATAGTCCAACGACTGCGGAAAGCGCATCGTGAATCAGTACTAAATGTCAGGTTCGATAAACGAGTCCTGGTCACCTGTTCGAAAGACAAGACAATCAAGGTCTTCAACCGACGGCCACTAAACGCGGGGGATCCAGGCTATCCAGTATTCCAGGGGGTCCACCCTGTGCCCACATACCTCGACAATTATGGCTTCAACCCTTCACCGACAGCTGGCCTACCTATCAAGCCAGCCTTCTCGATGATTGGCTGTCTAGAAGGACATGGAGCCGCTGTGAACGCCGTGCAGATCTGGGGTGATGAAGTTGTATCCGCTTCTGGTGATCGCACTGTTAAAATCTGGAACTGGACAGACGGAACATGCATCCGAACTTTGCTGGGACACCAAAAGGGTATTGCCTGTGTTCAATACGACGGGCGGCGCATTGTCAGTGGAAGCAGCGACAACGAAGTCAAGGTCTTTGACAGCAAGTCAGGACTGGAGGTCGCCAGCCTTAGAGCTCACTCAAACCTTGTACGGACGGTCCAAGCAGGATTCGGCGATTCGCCATACAGCGTCGAGGAAGACAGAGATGCTGCCAAGGCCATCGATAACGAGTATTTCAGGGCAGTGGACTCGGGAGAAGTCTCTCGGGCCGCTCTCTTGCAAAGAGGTCGACTTAAGAATGCCGGATCTAAAAGACCAACGGATATTACGGCATACGGTGCAAAAGTCCCTCCGGGAGGTGGCGGTGGTAAATTTGGCCGTATCGTCTCTGGCTCTTACGATGAAACTATCATCATCTGGCGGAGAGACAAAGAGGGAGTCTGGAAGGCACAGCATACTCTTAGGCAAGAACAAGCTGCTCTTGTAGCGTCAAGACCTACTGTTCCTGCTGTTCCTGAGAACACGAGCGAGACGGACAGCACAGTTGTTCAACCCTCTCAAAGTCCCGTGCCACCCGCCACAATACCACAACCAGTCGCCGATGCTCCAAGCCTGCCCTTTGCCCCTGGGTCCGACCAGTACTACCACCACTTAATCTCTATCACCGTGCCTCAAGGCAGAGTCGCTCTCCGCCGAATTCTCCAGCAACACCCACGGATGCTGGATTACGAGCAACTCCATATTGCCATCGCGGCACTAAACGAGAGTCCGGAGCAGATTGATCGTATGCGACTTATCGTCGAAAACGCGCTCATAGCGCGGCAGCATGGCCAGAACTCGGCAGCCTCCCAAGCCGGTCCCTCGTCTGCCCAAGCCGGTCCTGCGTCTACCCAAGCCGATTCTTCGTCTACCCAAGCCGTTCCCTCATCCTCCCAATCCAGCCAATCCTTCCAATCCCAAGCCGTAGCTGTCGCCTCAACCTCCCAAGGCGCCTCCATAGGCCACGCCATCAACGCTCTGGCCCAGCAATGGCAGCCCTCGCGGCCTCCTACTCCCGCCGGCATCCCAACCTCCTCCTCTACAGTCCTTCCTACTCCTCACGCCACTCCAGTGCCCGCGCCCCACCAACACCACGCACACCACCTGCCGGCGAACATGGCGCGCGTATTCAAGCTGCAGTTCGACGCTCGGAGGATCATCTGCTGTAGCCAGACTAGCACAATTGTCGGATGGGATTTTGCGAACGGAGACGAACAGATTATAGAGGCGAGTCGATTCTTTGCGCCGATTGAGTGAGTGGGTGGGTGGATGAGCGGGTTGGTTCAGGGAAACGGGCTTTTTTTGAGGAAGCTTCCTATGACATGTTGCGAGAATGTCGGAAAGAACTTGGGAGAGAAAGGAAATAATAGAGACGTACATAGCAACGACGACTGACGACGATGAGAAGATAAGTAAGTGTAACGTAACGTGGCACAGTAAGCAGCAATGGTCTCTTCCCCCCTTGTCCTGTTCCTTCTTTTCGATAAGTCGTACAACTTTGATGCGCAGAATACGGAGTATATTATTATACCTCCCCACCTTTGTATGGAGCACACAACCATGGACCGACCGATCCTACTTTTGAATAGAGCATTCCTAAGTAATAAGAGCCTGTATGGCTCGCAGATGCAAGCCAAGTTGCACCACCAAAATATTCTTGCATCTCCAAGTTGCGCGTTAAGATGCAAGAATGGAGCAATCTGTATGGCTCGTGCACGTAAAATCTCGTAAAGTTTGCATCTGCCATCTGCCCTCGCAACTTGCAGTTAGTTGCACCATCCAAATGAAAGTTGCAGCAAAAAAGCTCCAACTCCCAAGCTGCAAACTCGAGTTGCAAGCTTCCCTCCTCCTCTCTTCCCGCTTATTTTCATCACCTTCTTATCCTTCTCCAACGCTACCTCTTTGCCATTTGCCATCAGCTTCATCTTTTTTACTCAAGATATTTTGAAAAGGCGTCATCTGCGCCATCGCAATATCGGTGTTATCTATCGCTGCGATGAAAACACGCGCCGCTGTTCAATTCTCAAGAAACAACTTCGCGAGAATGGCTTTTGGCGCATTGCTACCTATTTCATCTGCTAGGTGCGAGGTACCGTATACAGACAGGCCTTGGAACCGTGCCACTTCTAGGTACCGGTACCGTACTGTCAGCTTGAGTTGATCCTGCTTAGGATCACCTCAAGTGCTGAGTTGCACGGACGTGCGACTGCGAGCTACCTACCTACCTATACACACCCAAGTTTAGTAATGAGGTAGGTAGGAAGCGTACGTATGTCCTAGGCTCGGAGGTTTTGAGTCAGATAAGTACAGTACTAGTGGACGGGGGTAGAAACAGAGGTGTAGGTACCGGTAGGTACCGACCGGTACGTAGGTACTTTTAACCGCCTGAGCCGCACCTCCCTGTCCGTTTCAACTTTCCGGGATTTTTGGGGGGGCCGGTAGGGGGGGAGTTTACGCAGTACGGAAAGCTTGTCCGATGGTATGGGCCTGCCGCTTGCGGCGGCGTTGATATATTACTGTATGTACCGGTGCGGACATACCGGTGGTGTATACGAAGTACGGAGTGGAGTGGAGTGGAGTGGAGCGGAGACGGCGTCCTGTTGGAGATGAGCCTCGTCTCACGCTTAGTTGGTTTCCTGATAGCCGAGGATGATGAGGGGGACAGGCGGGCTTTGTTTCTGTAGCGGCGGCGTATCAAGCAATACTGTGGGTACAGATAGATAGATAGATAGATACCTACGAAGGGGGGAGAGAGAGAGAGAGAGAAGCCCGTTCCTTGCACGCGCTCGATCACCAGAGGGGGCAGGAAACATCAAAATACCTAGAGGGAGCGATTAAGAAAGAGGGGGGGAAAAACACATTTACGGTAAACCCGTGCAAATCATCATGTGGTCTATGGATTTTATTATTATTACTATTATTATTTTTATTTCGTTTTTTTAAAACACGTTAATTTTTTTCCCTCATCTCTTCTTTGGCTGAATTACGAAAAAAAAAAAAAATATCTTTGCGAGAGAGAGAGAGAGAGAGAGAGAGAGAGAGGCCTGTTTTACGCCGCGTGCTTTACCTATTGAGGAAGCGAGCTCGGGCTGTCCATTCGAGAGGGCATGGACTGGGTAGGTTCGTTAAGTAACGGTACTCTACAGGGAGATCTCCCCTCCGTATATTCGGGATGGGGTGTCCAAACAGGTAGTATTATCTCTATGACATAAAAGTGTGTGTCTGTTGTTAATCTTGGACTTGATTGATGTGGGAGGGAATTGGGGGGGGAGGGGGAGATGAGCTTTCGATTGGAGATACGGTAGGTAGAGCAGGCTTGAAATCAGATGACAAGACCCTCCCTCCTTTGCATGATACTATGCTCAGGAGGGGAGGGGGGGCGATATGCTTCACGACGAGGGCTGTTTGCAAAGGCTTGGTGTTGATGCGATACCGGTAGTTGAAGTTCGAAAGCATGTTTATGTTTAGGCGCCTGTGAGGAGGGGGTGGGGCAAGGACGGGCGGGCGGGCTCAGGCGGTTATCTACAGGTACAACGTCACGGGCGTAAGTGTTACACCCTGAGGGTAGGGCAACCAGGCGGTTTGAAGTGGAGATTTAGACTTCTGAGGCATCCTCAGGCTGTAACACTTAGGCCTGTACCGTGGTGCTATCTTCAATCTGGATGATGGATTTTCTCGGGCACCTGGACTGAGTATGTACGATGACATCACCGCGGAGTATCATGTGTACATACTACGTATGAATGGTATATACTACTAGATACTGTCTCTCCGTATACACTTGGTCATATCTGATATAATAGAAACAAGTAATTAAAAAATGACTTTAAATTTATCTATCTATCTATTTATTTATTTATTGGATAGGTAGCTAGGTTAGGTACCTAGTTCTACCTAAAATAAAATAGGGGGTTCATAAATGGATGTTAGCCGCGATAGACTTGATAATTGTCCAGCTGCACAGTGTACATGCGGAGGTCTAGGTTAATTGTAGGTATTACGAGGTACGGGCTTCGGAGGACGGATGAGCAGGGGGAATGGGGATTGGGAAAAGTTAATGCTCCATTGTAAGGAATGGGAGGGGGATAGAAAGCAGGCACCTGACTGTATATCTATTTAATTATTAATCCTCGTGGCTTCAGGTAAAACATGGTATGTATCAGTGTATAACTATAGTACAAGGTAATAGTAGTAATATTAGTATTTATTTACGTCGGGCGGGTATCTAAAACGCAATGCTTGGCCCTTAGGACCTCTTATAGGGTACGGCGACGTGCTAAATAAAGGAATTATATATAAAGTTTATCTAATCGAGAAAGAAAATCACGTTGAAAAAAAGCCTTTAATATATATATATATATATATATATATAGATAACGCCGGGTGTCTAATCCCGCGGTATGGCAAACTCTTTATAAACCTTTTAAAAGCACTTTAAACAATTTGTACCAAATTGACTTTCGGTAACTATCGAATACGTGTAGCCTTACGAGCGACCTCGATCTGTATAAGAATAAACATCTTCTTCTTTGGTCGTATAGCTATAAAGGCTCGCGTTCGTAACCCTTGTGTAAAGCCGATATGTTTGCAAAGCGCCTTTGTCGAAGGCGCAATACCGTATTTTCGATCGATCGGACTGAGCCTTTCTTGTCTCTTATACTCGTTCTCCTTTTATCGCAAATCCTCTTAGTCTTTTCAATCAGTATGATCGTGAATCATAAATCTTAGTCGTCGTAGCGGTCGAAAGGGAGGAGGTTCGGAACAGCCTGTAAAGGAAAATCTTCTCGAAGAGTCGCCGCATGTCGATGATTCAATTTCGGCTCTTCAGACTCTCTGCCGCAGGAGAGAGCTAAAGGTTCCTAGGAGGCACCTCATACAGGGAAATAATCGAGCCTCCTTATACTACGAGGTAATGTCATCCCCCGACCCAGTTTATTATTTACCACTTTCCAAGGAACAAGCACCCAGGCTAGGTATACAGATCGTCGGCTCGCTTATGGAGGCCCACTTAAGCCATAAGCTTAAGCGGGCCGAGGATCATACTTTACTTCAGAAGGCTTATGTCAGAGAGAAAAGACTCCCCGCACTTGCTTTCCCTTCTTCTTCTTCTTCTTCTTGGATATACTGTACACAGACAAGTGCTTTTAGATATACATATATATACACACCCCCTCCACGTTCCGCCCGAACGGAAAGAAAAGATATACAAAGCACAATACAACGCCCCTTCTCATACCCGAGAACCAAGTAATCGTCCAAGTGAACCAACTCAAGAATCACCATGTCGCAACCCAAAATCCTCTTCGTGCTCACCAGCCACAACAAGATGGGCGACACCGGGAAGCCTACGGGATGGTACCTGGTCGGTGCAATCCTCCAATACAAATCTGCGTCCCTTCCTTCTCCCCCTCTCTCCCTCTCCCCGTCCTTTTCCCTCCCAATTCAATTTTCATTTCCATCTCCACCAAACCCCATTCCGACAAAAAAAAAATCAAGACGGGGAAAAAGAAAGAAAGAAATTTTTTTTTTTTTTTTTGAGAAGTCATCCACAACATTCCATCACGGAGGTTTCCGAGCTAGGAAAACCACATCGTCACTATCATCGACAGCTGATAAGCTAACTCGTGTTGTTGTGCGATACTTTCTAAAGCCCGAGTTCGCACACCCTTACGAGGTCCTCGCCCCCCACACCCAGATCACCATCGCCTCCCCTTCAGGCGGAGCCTCCCCGCTCGACCCGGCCTCCATCGAGGCGTCGCAGGATGATGCCGCGTCGTTGAAATTCTTGAAGGAGAAGGAGAAGCGTGCGTAGATATATATCCAGTTTTCCTCCTTGTCCTCCTTGTCCTCCTCTTCCTTCTCTTCCTCCTCTTCCTC